TGAGTGAGTGTGTGTGTGTGTGTGTGTGTGTGTGTGTGTGTGTGTGTGTGTGTGTGTGTGTGACTGCATCCCGTCTGCACAGACTCATGTAAGCATCTGCGTGTGTGTGTGTGTTTAAAACTGCGTTAACCGCCGTGACCTCACCACTAAGTGTGTGTGTGTGTGTGTGTGTATGTGTGTGCCTTGTCAAGTGTGCGTCAAATGTAGACGGACCCGACCGCACTGTTTACACACGACGCCACGGTGTGACCTCGGAGGTTGCCGGTGGCCGTGATTGGCTGCCAGCTAGCAGCTCATTAAGCCGCTCGCACAGGCGGACACCGTGCCAGAGGACACACTCTCCATTTGTTTCACAACACACGGACACAGTCGCACACACTCGCCAAGAGGGACACCGTAGGTATGGCAGGCAGCCACACACACACACACACACACACACACACAGACACACACACACCACAGGTCATCAGTAGCAGAGAGTCCGTCTGGCCTCGGTGACCTGGCTGAACTTTGGCTCATCCTCATTGGTTCATTACACCACGACCTCACACCTAGATGCCCATTGGCTGGTGGACCAAACTGCAGGGTCATGACTCGTCAACAAGAAGGAAAAGTTGGAGGAAGGATAGAAAAGGAAAGGAGACAGAAGAGCACAATTACAACAAGAAAGATAACCGACAAACTGGTTTATGTAAAGTCTGACTGCTCGTGTTTCACTGGATTCTGTTGATGGCCGTGTTCTCAGAACAAACCAATTACTTTGGTGAGTAGAACATTATCATAACTATAGAAATGAAGGTCAGAGCTACGAATGTAAATCCCAAATTCTAATAAACTGGAATAATCCTTTAAGAGCAGAACAAAATAAAAAAAAGCCCACATTTGGTTTTAAATCATCATAGTGTAGAAAAAAAAAGCGTTCAGTCTGAATTTGTAAAAAGTCAGTAAGTACTCAGATCTTTTAGTGAAAGAGAAACTAAAGCCCAGAGTTATGGTCGAAGTGCTTCTGCCCTGGAAACGTAAAACCCTTCCACCATGACTTCATGCTACAGCTACAGAACCTAGCAGAGCTCCACATGGTTTGGTCTATGCTACTTTAATACATAGCCAGACTTTACTGCTATTTCACGCACCATGATAGCTGTTACCATTAGCTTATGCTAATCAATAACAAACTGGTTAAGAAGGCCGGCTCCATCATTGGCTGCAAACAAGACTATCTGGAAACGATGGTGGAGAGGAGGACTCTGAACAAACTATTATCCATATTGGATCACCAGGACCACCCTCTGCACCACCTCCTGCAGGGACAGGCTGATCCAGCTCCGCTGTCACAGGACCGATACAGGAGAACATTCTGCAGTAAGACTCTATAATAAATCACCTCTGGACAGATCATCCTTCTCATGACTACACACCGCTACACTGTTGTTGTTTGCTGTTGGCTGATCGTTGATCTTTGCACTACTGCTTAGTTTGCTTAATTAGTTAATTTAACACTATTCTATTTCATTGTATATACTGTGCATTTTTTCTTTCATTTTCTTTATATCTAACATGTTCTACTCTGTTATTTTGTTGTATATAATTGTGCATTTTTCAGACTTAATATTTTTATTTTTACTCTGCTGCTTCGTTTGCTGAAGTTTATCTTTGCTGCTGTTACAAACACATGTCCCCTGGGGATGAATAAAGTATCCATCTATCTATCTATGATTATGCTTAGATCAGAGTGCTGTAAAGGGTCTGTTATGGAGACAAACTACGGTATAAACTCTTAGAAACATTTGTGAATTTGAGTTTACGTGCAGGGCTCGGATATCTTTATGCTAGTGATTAGCATTAATGCTAGGCATTAGCACTAGCGACTCACAGGTGAATTGAAAAGGTACTACTCTTCACACACTCTTTGTCAGTACCTGATTCTAGTATGCCTTGCGGGAAAGACCCGCCCCTACTCGCTGCCTCTGATTGGCTACTTGCTGCTAAACGCTAGCCGTTAGTTTATCTATGATGCTAACCGACGCTTCGATCTAGATGGTTCTCGGAAGAGCAACTCAGCCACGGCAGCCATATTTGTTCAGCCATGTGATTGAATTGCAACAGCCGAGTTTCAACCAGTAGAGGGTCGTTATGTTTATGTACAACATGTCAAGATGACGATCTGAATCCATCAACAGCATGATGAATACACACGTACATTAGTGTTCAGCTAAAAAAAAGTGGTTTGAAGGTTTAGTTACTCTTTCAGTGAAGGTAGAAATACCACAGAGTGCAAATACATTTCTACTAAATACTATTGCAGCTCCAGATAACGATACTAAGTCTTGTACTGGTATCTTTGTCACTGTGAGTCACATCTACACCCTCTGGCATGACTTGTGATGCTTTAAAAATAGCTCAAACAGAACAACTACAGCATTGAAAACAATGACTTGTGTTCATGCCCATCCACGCGCACTTTGAAGGTCATCTTGCGTGGTGTGTTTACTCATTTTTAAGGGTTTTTTGTGTGTCATTTAAAGCCATGTGGTCGTTCCCATCTTGTCACATGTACACTGAAGTTGGCAGTTCTTAACGTGAGGTTAACGTTGTGAATACAAACAAAGCAAAAAACGTTTCGGCAACGAAACTAAACTCAGGGTTTGGGTTAAAGTAAGTATTCTACGTACATTTTACTGGGATTAAGTTACGTACTAAAGGTAAGTAGACAACGTAAATTCAATTCATGAATGGCGGTCTCCTGGGTGAAAGTCCTGTGTTTGTTTGACCCGTCCACTCCGACCTTCTCGCCACATGGATTCTCTCGCTCTGAGATCTTTATCCAAGGGTTCAATTCATGTGTTATTTGTACCAGTGTGGTGCTTCACATTGATTCATAAATCTCACCAAACATCGCAGGTGTGAGCTCTTTACGGTGACTTGGATTCACCGATGAACTGATGGATCCACATCCAGTCAGTCTGTCAGTGAGTCTAAGCACCTCGAGGCCCGGCGAAGTAAACGCTGAGTCATCGTTCTTAAAGAGGAGAAACGGGGGATCCCCGTTACAACAGAATGACATCTAGTCGGCCTCTCTGTCTTAAGTTATCTTCCTGTCAGGCCTCGTGCTCGCTGCTCCTTCGTATGTTTTTACAGCCTCGTTGCTTTTATGAGCATCGTTACCGTTTATATATATTTTAGTTTCCTCTCCTTCTCCCTCTCTGTCGTTCCTCTACCCCCCCCCGTCTCTCTTTCACCATGCGATACTTCTGTGTTGACGTGTCCGTCGGCGTGTTCCCATAGCAGCCAGACATTTCTGCTGACCCCTGCCTTGCTTTGCGTGACAGAGCTGCAAGGAGTCTACTGTAGGAGTGCACATGCTATGCACACACACACACACACACACACACACACACACACTCTTGGCTCCAGTCTCGATTCTTAAAGTCTCTTATGTGTGAAAAGCTCTGAACGGCTTCGGACCGGCTGACATCTCAGACTCCCTCCTGCTCTCAGATCCTCCACTGCTGGTTTCTAGTCCCTCAGACCTCTGAGAACATTGGAGATGCACATTCTTTCAGCTTTGCTCCCAAAGACGTCAAGCAGCACTTAAAACGTTCTTTAGCAGCACTTAATGTGTGCTACAAAGAGTCCTACATGCTTCTTTTTTAAATGACCTTTCATGTCTTTAAACACTTTCATGTCTAAACTTTTTTTTGTTCCTTTTTAACTTTAATTGTAAAATGTTTCCTGTTGAAATGCTTTCTTCCACCCTTACATGTGTAGCTTTTCTGCTTTTATTTATGATTTAAATGTGCAGCTACAGTCTGTACAAATAAAGATTATTAGTATTAAATCTGAAACACAACATTTCTATTCGTTGAACATTTATATTTTTTATTAAAAAATAACATTCATGACAGAAACAGTTGTACAACCAATAATTATAATCTGCAACAATAATTACACTTGAGAACTGGAGGACTTCAAATCCTCCTTTTTAAAAATAAGTTAAGAAATAAAGTTTTTCTCCCCCCCCCCAAGCATTTAAAGATACAGTGTTGGCTATAACTGGCTCACAGCCACCGCTAAACGCTTTAAGACTTGCTTTAATGTGGATATTCATAGCACGGTATCTCGGCAGGCTTGTGGCTGTTTTTGATCTGGCGGAAGTAGAAAACGAGCAGGTTATGGATCAGTTCCAGTACATGAAGCTACATGAAGCTACATGAAGCTACAGTACACGCACAGTCAGTGTGACGCTACTCCAGTGTTAATACGGTTAGACTCAGAGGGTTACACTCATGTTTTGGCATCTAGGCCTGAGCTTCAGTTTCCAGTTATCGTCCCAGTGTAGAAATCCAGTTCTCCACATTTAACCCCCCCCCCCCAATAATCCCTTCTTAGTCCACTCCTCCGTTTGTGGACCAACAGTGTTTAAGCGGCCAATCGATGGCTGCCGACTGCAGGAAGAGACCGCCGGTCTGACGAGCTTCCGTCGGATTGCGGTTCATATTAATGGCGTCCAGTGTTTGGTGTGACGGCCGTCCTCTCCTCCTGTGATTGCACGTTTTAATGGTTTCCGTGGAGCTGGAGGCTCTGCGGCTCTGCAGCAGGACAGGTGAGTCTCTGAGTCCGTCGCCTGGCGTCGGTCTCCTCAAAGTCCGTCCCGCATTCAACAAGCTCCTGTTTCTCGTCCCTCCGCATTCCTCTTGGAGCAACTTCTCTCGCTTCTAAGGTCAGCTTCACCACTTCCTGTGTCACAACATGAACATGTTTATTCATTAATTCATGAGCAGATACTCTAAAATACATTCTGTGTCTTCTGACTTCTCCCAAGGTTTAGTATTCTCTCTGCCTCAGTGTTTCACCGACAATGTCTGATTAGAAAACACACATTTATTCTCAATTACCGTATTTTCCGCACTATAAGGCGCACTGGATTATAAGGCGCACCTTCAATGAATGGCCTATTTTAGAACTGTTTTTATATATAGGGCGCACCGGATTATAAGGCGCATAGAATAGAAGCTACTACAGTCAAACGTTTGACTGTTCGAGTTTGTCCTCTAACTGTGGCCATCTTGCTTTGTTCCCTCGGAAACTCTTTTTAGTCTTCTTTACTTGGCACAGGTCATCTTCTTGCTTCCTCCACTTCCGTACCATTGATTCATTAATGTTGAATTCTCTCGCTGCTGCTCTATTCCCATGTTCGGCTGCGTAGCTGACAGCCTTGAGTTTGAACTCAGCGTCGTAAGCGTGTCTCTTGAAAGGTGCCATTTTGGGGTCTTTATACACACAAGTGGTGTTGGACTAGGAGTAAGCACAGTACCGGTGTTTACCGCTATTACTTCGGCGACGCCCCTGACTACGGTAGCCGTAATGCTGCGAGCGGTGCGGCTTTGTAGTTTACCAGTCGTACTGAAACATTTTGACAGAGCGCCGTGTACAACCAGTATAGATCAACCAATTAACCAATTGATCCATATATAAGGCGCTCCGGATTACAAGGCGCACTGTCGTTTTTTGAGAAAATTAAAGGCTTTTAAGTGGGCCTTATAGTGCGGAAAATACGGTACTCTACATTTATTTTCTTTTAAGCCAACTTTAAAGCAGTGGTTAAGATGTTGATTCACGGAAATTAAGTCAAATACATTGCAGAAAAAAAATTAAAACAAAACAAATCTTTTGGCTAAATATTTGTAAATGTACATGTTCTTATTCTGGCAGTTTGAACAGATGAGGAAACTTATTCAAAATAAATATTAAGGACATATTCCAGAGAACAGGAGCATCAATCAGAGGTCAGCTCAATTCCTTTTCATGATTATTGTCTCACTCATTCATTTCATTTTATTGTCGATTCAAAGCATAAAAGGAAACGTGACGTTTCCGTCACGTTTCCCCTCAGGTTTCAGGTCTCAGGTTTCAGGTCTCAGGTTTCAGGTCTCCGGTTTCAGGTTTCAGGTTTCAGGTCTCAGGTTTCAGGTTTCAGGTCTCAGGTCTCAGGTTTCAGGTCTCAGGTCTCAGGTCTCCAGGTCTCAGGTTTCAGGTCTCAGGTTTCAGGTCTCCGGTTTCAGGTTTCAGGTCTCCAGGTCTCAGGTCTCCAGGTCTCAGGTCTCAGGTTTCAGGTCTTAGGTCTCCAGGTCTCAGGTCTCCAGGTCTCCAGGTCTCAGGTTTCAGGTCTCCAGGTTTCAGGTCTCCAGGTTTCAGGTCTCCAGGTTTCAGGTCTCAGGTCTCCAGGTCTCAGGTCTCAGGTCTCCAGGTCTCAGGTCTCCAGGTCTCAGGTCTCCAGGTCTCCAGGTCTCAGGTCTCCAGGTCTCCAGGTCTCCAGGTCTCCAGGTTTCAGGTCTCAGGTCTCCAGGTCTCAGGTTTCAGGTTTCAGGTCTCCAGGTCTCAGGTCTCAGGTTTCAGGTCTCAGGTTTCAGGTCTCAGGTCTCAGGTCTCCAGGTCTCAGGTTTCAGGTTTCAGTTCTCAGGTCTCCAGGTCTCCAGGTCTCAGGTTTCAGGTCTCCAGGTCTCCAGGTCTCAGGTCTCAGGTTTCAGGTTTCAGGTCTCAGGTCTCCAGGTCTCCAGGTCTCAGGTCTCAGGTTTCAGGTCTCAGGTCTCAGGTCTCAGGTTTCAGGTCTCAGGTCTCAGGTCTCCAGGTCTCCAGGTCTCCAGGTCTCAGGTCTCAGGTCTCACCTGCAGCTACATGATCATGGCCCTGATGGCTGCTTTGCTGATGCGTTTGCGGTGTTTCCTCCGGCGGCGAGGCGACGCAGGACGGAACGGGGCGCGGCGGGCCGAGGGCGAGACGGGAGCCACAGAAGAGGAGACGACTGAAGGAAACCAAGAGGAGAGAGATCAGGAAGGTTACCACAGAGTTACCTTTGACCTTTTATGAATGCACATTTAAATCAGAAAAGTGGCGGCAAAGATGTCATAATAATTATTATTATAATAATACAAAAATTATATATTATGATAACAATAACAATAATATTATAATAAAATAAAATAAAAATAATAATAATCAAATATAATAATCAAATATAATAATAATGCTAATAATAATAATGGTAATGATAATAATGCTAATAATAATAATAATAATGATAATAATAATATAACAACCATGATAACAATAATAATAATAATAATAACAATGGCAGGAGAAAGTGTGACTGAAAGCATCTGACTTTAACTCTGACTTTTGGGTTCATCATGAATGACCTCGTTCCGTAATAGAATGTGTCTCGGTGCTTCAGCTTTGAGGACTCGATGCTCTGACTGCAGGAACAAAAACAACGTGATGAAGAGAGAAAGCTCCTGTGACTGCACCGTGTAGGGCAGCTGAGAACACGCTGTGACGGCCTGCAGGTCTGACTCAAACATGAGACTCTGGCTGCAGAGCTCTGAGGACACATGATGCTCAGTCACACCTGTGCAGTGCCCCCCCCATTGATTCTCCCACGCAGTAACAGCTGAAATAAGAGACGTAGACACATGCAGCGGTGATGTCATGACGGATAAACTCTGCGTCCAGTGTTAGACGAAGCGTAAATCAATCATCTCCAGTATGTTCATTGTGAACGGCTTCTGCAGTAGTTACACACATGTGTATACTTACTGTTTACTTACTCTCTGCTCTATGATAATCCCCCTGATGATGTCACAGTGATGTCATCAGGTCGGGATTTTAAGGACGCAAAATATGCAATGACGTCATATGTGTGTATTGTGATAAAAAAAAAAAGGTAAAAAGCGCCTGTGATCCAAACTTGGAAATGGAGTTTAAAAATATCAATATATTACAAGTCAGGGAGGGTTTAACGGAAGATGCTACTGAGTTGCATTATGGGAAATGTAGGATCCAGTTTTTTTTGGGGGGAGTTTTATCAATACAAGGACCGTCTGTTCTCATTCACTGTTCAGACTTATAGCTACAAAAGGAAAACATACTAAATATATGTATTTATATACATACATATATTTATTAAATTACTTTTTATCAAACAGTGAACAGGAAGTGACCATATGTGGACTGAGGAGAAGTGACGTAGAGATGCCGTATACGTCTCTGGTAGAGACCTGTCAATCACTGTGTAGCCCCGCCCTAAAGCATCCCCTGCTTTATGGTCTGTTTGACTCTAAATGGACCATAATGTACTAAATGAACATCATGCTGTATTGAAGAAGACTTGAAACTAGAGATTGAGACCATAAACTCATGTTTACAATGTTTACTGAGGTAATAAATCAAGAGAGAAGTAGAGTCATTTTCTCATAGACTTCTATACAACCAGAGGAGTCGCCCCCTGGTGGACGCTAGAGAGAATGCAGCTTTAACACATGAAGCTTTGACTTCACTTTAAAGAACCGGAGGTTGACGCCTTGTGTGAACACCAGAAGTTGATGTTCCATACTTAATTGACGTCCCTTCAGTTCTTATCTGAACCCAAACAACCATCTTTTCCTAAACGTCACCATATCACATGAACCGTCAGGATATCTTACTCCTGTTAGTTCTTAAAAATAATAACTTCCTATTTCACAGCTTAAAGGTGCAGTCCGAAATCTCTGGACCTTTTTAAACGCAGTCTTCATTCACACACGTTCTCACACGTCCTCGTTCTGAGCGTCACCTGTTGTAGACGTGGTCGGCTTTGGTCTCTGCTGAGGATGATGGGGATGAAGATGCGTCTGGTGATCCGGCTCCGTCTGAATCATCTCCAGAACTTTCCGTCTCCTCTCCTCCTCCGTTAAATGACCGACCCCGCTGTCTTTTTTTCCCGTCCCCTGATTGGCCGGCTCCGCCCCGGCCGAGTCCCCGCTATTGGCCGAGCTGCTCTCCTCCCTCTCGTTGCCTCCCGGTCGACCGGTCGCTGCTAAGGTCTCAGTCTGTTTCGTGACCTGCGTGGTTTTTCCGCTGGTCGCTGAGTCCCCCTGATTGGTGGTCGTAGGAGGAGGGGCGGGGCTTTCTTCCAGTGTGGGCGGCTGAGTCGTGCTGCCGGGCGGCGAGGCGCCGTCGGACTGCGGCGCGTTCAGCCGATGTTGCGTCCTCAGCTCTTGGTCCTGCTGAGGATGATACTGCTGCTGTCTCTGCTGATGCTGCAGCAGCTGCTGCTGCCTCTGCACGTGATCTGGATGATGCACCTCCACGTGCACGCCGCTCTCCTCCCTGCTCCCGTCATACCCGCTCCCGTGCCCGACCTGCGGGGCGCCTCCCGTGACGCTGTGCTCCGCCCTCGCTTCGGACGGCCAGCTGCCGACGGGCGGGTGCACCCGGGGCTGCGTCCAGTGCACCAGCTGGGTGTAACCGCCCTGCTGCCACTGCCTCGACACCGGGTCTCGCTCCTCGGGGCGGTAGCGCTGCTGGTTGTGCTTCAGGTTGTCGTGGCGATGGAGGTCAGCCTTGGAGGCGAGAGTCTTTGGCGGAGCCGGGTGGACGGCCCGGGGGAGGGGCGGGGGAAGGTGGGAGGACGGGGGAGGTGGAGGGGGAAGAGGGTTGGGGTTGCTCTGGATGGGGACGGATGAGGAGGAGGAGGAGGAAGCAGGCTGGCACCTGCAGCTGACGTGGTCCTCCACCGAGATGACGGCTTTGTCGTAGTGAGCTTTCCTGTTCATGTACTGGATCTTTATCACCTGAAGAAGAGACGGAAAGATCGAACACATCAACACACAAGTCACTGAGGAAACATCGACAGCAGATGAATCCGTTTTTGCCTGACGAAGAGGAGACACTTCTTCATTAGCTGGTCAGTTTAGAGATTCCATAACGTCTTCTTTCAGACTAGAGGAAAGAAGACGTTTATTTTACTACTTTGTCTGTTTGCGTCTGTAGAGTTCTCCTAAATACACCAAAGGTTACCGTCAGATAATGATCTTTGCATATTTGTAACAGAATAGATGATTGGGGAAGCTTCATGCTGTAGTTTACGATCTTTTCTTGAACCTGACTTTTTTCCTAATAAACAGTTTATTTTGAAAGTTTTTTTGTCGTAAAATGGAACTTTTCTCCGAACCGTTGCATGAGGACACGTTGCTCTATTAGACCTTCCTTTAGTGTTCTAATCACAATATGCTCGGTGCAATTAAAGGAAAAGGAAAGGAACCATTAGCCCCTTAGCTTAGCTTAGCATTAAGACTATAAACGAGCGTGTACCTGCAGGTATCTGGTGGAGGAGACGGTGGGGACGCACTTCAGCAGCCTGGTGTTGCAGCAGCCCGAGCATCGCTGCACCTCCACGCAGGGCGGCCACAACAGGAAGTTGGCGTTGCGGCGGTCCAGCATGGACCTCGTCACCTCCATCACCTCCGTCCGGACTTTACAGGCCGCCTGCTGGGCCGGCTGCGCCTCCACTGTAAGAGGGGAGGAAGAGGAGAATAAGAGAGAGAGAGAGAGAGAGAGAGAGAGAGAGAGAGAGAGAGAGAGA